CTCAATAAACTTCTGACAACTATTACAAACAATTCGAGTAGAATTGGTGATGGGAGTTTGTACATTGCAAATTTACTTAATAAAATCTCTTCATTATGTTCAAAATGTAAAAATCAAATAGACAAATTAATACAAGAGCTAGATCAAAATAAATCAGTAGAAAAAGAAATCGATACAAATCAGTACGTATTCAATAGAACAGATACTCTTTAAGCATAGGTTAGAGAATGAATATGTGCCAGTGATGTGTATTTAGATTAAAAACAAAAGCAAGACAGTTACAACAGAGAATAGTTAGACAAATGGCTAAAAAACAACAAAAATTACTAGCAGCGACATGTGAAGAATCAAATGAAAGTAAAAACCAATACATGTTCTATAATTTTCACGGGAATCAATTTTTAATGGTTTTTTCAATATAGAAAATCTAGAGGAAACGTCTGTTGAACTTCACTGTTGTATCTGTTTGATGCGAGAAGTTGAACAGAAAAATCCATTTGGACTCGTTGTTTCATTATTTGATACTGGTGGTAAGTAATAAATCGATATAATTCAAATTGATCTCTAATTGCTCTTAAATTTCATAAAACAGTAATTGGTATACGAGAAGTAGAAGGTATCTATAGATCAAGCGAAAATAAAAATGATACTCAGGATCAAGATAATGAAAAAAATACACTAACAACAAAAAACACAAAACTGATCGAGTGCTGTCATTTTTATTTGAAAAAACATACAGACAATAATGAAAACAAATCGAAAGAATACATTTTTAATGATATAACTGCGAATACAACCTATTCAAAATGCAAAAACAAAAACGATTTAACATGTGCAAAATATTATGAGGAGAAAATTCAAAAAATGTTAACATTATTCTCCGAAGTAAGTTATTCTGGATCTAATACATTTAGCAATACTTGTATAATTCTTGCTTTCTTAATCAGGAAAGTGTGTCCAATCATACGTCAATCTTATGGCGTACCGGTGTGATAATCAGAACATGTGGACATACGATGCATTTAAATTGTTACAAAAAATATACGAAACCATTTATGACAGTAATTAGATAGCCTCAAATTTGTATTTGATTAGTTTTTATATATGTTTTGAGAGAATAATCGATCCTGAACTTGATCCGAATATAAATTTCAAATGTCCATTATGCCGTCAACATGGTAATGCTCTTCTCTATTTACCACAAGAGTCGGATAAACTTTCTGAGACAGTGTCGGTGGACGAAAACGAAATTATGGCTCTAACAAGAATGTTATCAGAGAACAAGAAACCTTGTGTAAGAACAGCACATTTTAACTATGCTCCTATATGATTAATTATCTTTCTTTGGTTTCTACTGGTATAGTTACCACTGAACATTGCTGAATGGATGACAAATTTTCTACAAAAAATGTACAACGTTATTAGTAAAACCTATCGTGAGTATATGTAACTGACACGAATTCAGACATCGTATTTCAAATATAATTCCAGGTACCATAGATGGGCATGATAAGGAGCCAAATGATTTGATCATTTCGCTTTATCTTGTTTCAATGTTAAGGTATGATGTATGATAATGTACGCATATTGTACCACGCTTTATTGATTGCTAGATTCAATTTGGAAAGCGATATATTGATTCGTGATACAAACCATACAGTGACAATAAAAAACAGTCAAAAATCATGTTTTCGTAAGAGAAATCAAGTTATTGCGATTTTGTGAAGAAAACTTTATGATAATCACTTCCAGGTCACATTTTTAGGTGAATGTTTCCGTGTACTATCAATGAAATATGCGCATGTAGCTGGTTCTCAAGCTCAACTATGGGAGAGAATTACAGGCATTGGTTCAATGAATAGTGTGAATAGGTGAGAAATAAAACTTATCGTACAATGAAAGTAAATTGCACTGTTCTGGTTATCATTCTAGTGGAAAGTCTATACTAATCGATGATGTTAACGTACCCATACTATTGTCTGACACATGTACGCTATTAATTCGGATCATGTTGGGTCTACCGTATTTAGTTAAACAAGGTACGTAATCGTAAAGGAAGAAAAGAGCTGAAATTCTTTACCGTATAGTTTAATAGAACAATTTCATGTTGTTGTACAAGCATTATTCAATTTGTCATATATTCAAGCTGTATTTCTAATATGTGCTCAAATGTCTAAAGAAGAACGAGAGGCATGGATGGATTCAGCAAATCATACAGATATGGTAAGAATCTTCCATTTTTCTTATCTAAATTTCTATGAGATTGATTTTCTTCCGTTCTATCATAGACTTCACCATCACTTCTAACCTATATAAGAATCATCTTGCATAAACTGCAAACTTGCCAGTATTTCGCAGAACGTCAAAGCAATAATATTGATGTAAGTCTGTTTCACTTTAACGTTCAATAAATCGAACCTCTGAGATTATTCTCACATTTATTAGTCGGAAATTTTCACCACTGAATCGTTAAATGAAGTTTTACATCGACAATGTATTCATTTCGTCAAGTTAGCTGTTTTATTACAACATCATTTGTATCAACATAATTTATGGTGGTTGGTAAGAGAGCAATCAACATATCGTCAATGTTTACGTATATTCGCATCTTATTTCAGCCTGGACGTCAAATAGAATCAGATCTACTATGGAAAAATTTGATGAAAGATGTCGAATTAACTATTGAACAACCGTTGTGGTTTTGTGAAAATCCACTATCGCTAATTGTTATTTGGATTGATGAATTTTTGATAGCAAATAAAAAATCAAATTTAGTTCGAGTTCGTGTGTATTCAACGATGTCAAATCAAATTTGAACTTCATTTTCGTCGTTTAGACTCTCGCCATTCCCGATCCTACGTTTTTATCGCCAAGGCTTGTTGATTTACCGCCTACATTTGAAAGTTTATTTCGTGAATGTCACAAATTAAAATGTCCAAATTGTAAACAAGTTGTTTCATTTCCCGTACTATGTCTCATTTGTGGTACGGTGTATCCCACAGAACATTCTGAAACAAAATGCTGTGATAGACGAACACGATCTGCCAAACAGGTATCCGCAATTGTTCTCATTATGAAATAATTGTTTACAATCAAATAGAGCTTCTATTCTAGCATATTATAGAGTGTAGTGGCGGACTAAATTTGTCAATAAGCATTGATTCTAGTAAAACTTTAATACAGAGGGAAAATAAGTACGCAAAAACTGCCAGTCTCTATTTGGTAAGTTAATACTAGTGAAAGTTGGTCTATAGTCAACTAAAGCCGTGTTTATTTTAGGACGAACATGGAGGTATGTTGTTTGATTTTACGCAGTGAATAGTACCCCTTCCTTCATTCTGAGCCTTCACAAGAATATTTACTACTTATAAAGTATAAGAAGGAATTTACTTCTTATTTTCAGAGGCTATGTAAAAGTCTTTTGCGCTTTTTTTGAGGCCGTCCTAAACTTTTCAGTTATTCTAGCTTAGACGCTTTCTAGAAATCTCACTTTTCAACTGGCCTTGCTTGATTCCCTTGAAAATCCATCCGTTCGGGATAAAAGTTTTATTATAAATAGTTAATCAAGTATCTCAGAGATTAAATTCTTTTTAAAAAATATTGCTTCGACCAAAAGTTATAGCAAAAATCTTTTTAAAATCTTTGTTTTTACTTTTAAAAACCTTAACAAAAACAGTTTTTTGAAGACTTTCAGCAAAATAATCATAACTCTATTAAAAAATATGGTGTAGAGTTGGGTAACATCTCGTTTTGTTCAGAACTCTTCACGCCACAAGAGTGACTAAAGTGCCGATATAGAAAAAAAAATTTTCGAAACTTGAAAAATAGAGATTTTTTAGCGTAAAGTGACAAACTTTAAAAAATTCGTATTGCTCCAGTGCAAAATCGTGGAGAGCTAGAAGTGGGCTTATTTTGTAGAGGACATGCCATTCAATCATGCATTACGTTTGCCTCTCTTGTTTGCATTTTTTTTGTTATTATTTTAGAGGAAGATGTTGACCTAAGGTAAACTATCTACACGATAGGCATCGTACCATATCTGTCTTGCAATTACACTCTTGTAGACGTGGTAAACGACTTTATTTGAATGATAATCGTCTAAAATCGTTTTATTCATCATGGATATCATCGAGTTTAGATCAAAACGTAAGCAGATGGTCAAATGAAACATTTCAAGAATAAACGGACGCTGATTGCATGTCTTGTATGTACAGTTTTTCATTTTTTTTGTAATACTCAAAATCAATTGTAGTCTAATTTAAATTTGAAGGTGACTATTATAAACAGTATACTTGTGAGATCACCTTAGTTAACTATTTTCACTACTCTACATATTTCTGTTCCTCGCCTCAATCGAGTAACTTCGAAGGCCTACAGCCGGTTGGTCGCCATTTTAACAGAAACGCAAAAATTTTAATAACAAAATCCATTAAAGGTTTTAGTACCGAAGTTTACATAAAACCGACTTTCACTGGTCTTATGACCAAATGGGATAGCTTTGTTCTCGAAAGATATAAAAAAATGCCATCTTCACAATGGTCTATCGAGCTATAAAAATCTGTTCGTCTTATGCGGCTATTCATAAAGAACTTGAGTTTATTAGATCACTATAAAAAAAGAATGTATATCCACCTAATATCATTGAATCTATTATTAGAAAACAGTTAAACTTACTATTCACTCCAAAAACTAATCCTGCCAAGCCTGAAATTCTAAAAGTAAGTGTCGTACTTCGAACCGAGTCAGACTTATGCAAAATGCGTAACTACAGCTGTGAACAAAATTTATCCGAATAAACAAATTAGGATTGTTAATGATGTAATTGAGAAGATAGGTTCAGGGTTTACGACGAAAGATCCAATTCCTATGGAGTTAAGATCTAGATTAGTCTATCAAGCTACATGCTCCATATGTGGAGAGACATGTATCGGCAAAACATGTAGACATTTAAAAACTAGAGTCAATGAACATATCTCTGATCAAAACAAGCTTATTTCTTCTCAACCTACACCAAATACCACAAATACATCAATTTCAAAATCGTATAAACCACAGACTTCATCTAAAAAACCTAAATCAGGACCTATAACAAGATCACAAACTGGTAAACTTCCTAGAGCAGTTAAAAATTTGGAGGATGATCTATTAGACGAAATCTTAGCTATTCAAACAAAGTTCGTTGATCCTCCTAAACAGAAAGTTGGGGCAAAATCAGCTAGTTTTAGCCAGACATCACGAATCCACTGGTCACGTGATGTCATCAAACGACTTTCCTATTCTCGTGCCAGAACAGCATAAATATAAACTATTAGTAAAAGAATCCATTCTTATTGGAGTTCAAAGTCCAGTATTGAATAGCACAGATCGCTCAGTATCGCGTTATATGTCTTCCCTGATGGTTTAGAAAACAGAAGTAAACGTAATAGTCTAGGTAATAAGAGACTATTTTCACCAAACATTAGTCAGTGACCTTTGTTTTTCCATCCATATTAATGATGTCACGTTCTTTTTTTTTTGAAACATGCGCACATCTTTCAAAAAAGAAATAAACAGAAAGAAGAAAATTGTAAAGTTCATCGAGTTCTATTTAAAGGAAAGAAAACTGTCATGTGTTCTTAGTGTGTGTTACTTCATTGTGTGTACTTCTTTTATGTATTGTTTGAAAATGACTGTAAAAGTCGAAATATCACTATATTAAAGTAACAAGAATTTCTATTATGAAATTCTATACAGCTGCATTGACAATCTTACGTTTGTGTCAAAAACCGTTGCCCAATAAAGAAAATATCAACTATTTTGTATTTTGAAATGGATAGTAGAAAAATATTTTTTTAATTAAGATCCCATGATAAATAAACAAAACAAATGTCTTCAACCACCAGAAACTGTATTTCCTTTCTTCAATATGAAACACATTCACGCACGCACAGAGGAAAAAAAAGAAGAGTAAAAAACATACAAAAAGACAACATAATTTTATATTAAATTGTTTAATCGTAATCACTGTAATCTATATCGTTCGCTAAATATCCATCATCAACGTTTAGATTTTGCAAATCGACTTTATAACGTAGAATACCTGAAAAAAACAACCAGATTTAATAATGATTACCATGTATTTGTTATCTTTAAGACTTACCACCTACGCCGCCAAAGCCCCTCACAAACTGCGAGCCTTCTTGACTCTTATCCGTAACTATCTCAAGTGTAGCTCCTATAATTGAATGAAAAAACACAAGATTAATATCGACAAAAACAAATATAACAATTTGATCAACAATATAAACGTACCGAAATTCTTATAATTATTTGCTAGCCATTCAAGTAGTGGTAAAGCTTCAATAGCTTCTAAGTCGACTCCCGTATCTTTATCTTGAAAATGTGATTTTTCTTTTTCTTGATCAGATCTTAGATGTACAGTTTTTGTCTCTTGTGTTTGATTATTTCTCAATACATAACGCATAACATCAAAATTTTCCCATACGATTAACGTTTCAACAGCACCCATTTCTAATGCTTTTAATGTATCATCAACGCCAAAACAATATTGGCCAGAATCTTTTGATACTTCATCAAAATAACGTGCTATAGAAAAAGAAACCCCTCTCCATAAATCAGACGATGTACATTCATTTTACATTATATGACTTACAAATAAGTTTTTTTTCTTGAATGAATTTAACATCACCCAGTGTTTCACTTGCTAATTCAATAGCTTGATTGAAACCATTCTCACCACCGTACGATACATCAACACGTTTTAAAACTTTAACTTGTAAACGCTAGAAAAAGAGAAACGCACGCACGTTTACTTCTATAAATTCTTTCTAAGAACAATACACAAATACTTACAGGATCAAACATATCAGATTGATGTAATTCTGTTTTGAAATCAGCTAGACCAGCCAAGATTAGTCCTGTAACATTTACTTTATCATCTGTTATGAAACATTGCACAGCCGTTTCAGCTACTTTTCGTACGTAATTATGACGTTTTTCCATTCGTAAACGAGCAAAACGTAATGCACTCTGACCACCACGGCCATGTTTTTTAGGTAAATCAACGGCAAATTTTGTAATGACTTCACGTGAATTTCCCTGTAATGTTCCAAACAAAGCTCCATTTCCATCCATAACAATGAATCCGAACCGTGAATCATCCGCTAATAACGCTTGTAGTGCCTAAAAACAAACAAAAAGCGTGTTTTATATTTTTGCACGTGTATAATGTATAGCAAAAAGATGACTTTTCATTTCTGATATTCGTTTAGTTAGGACAGACTGAAGAGTGAGCGTTACCACCTAAATCGCGCACTATGTTCGCAAACACACAAATGAATGCCCGCTTCTAAACAACTAGATCATCAGCGCAACATGCCTAAAAGGATCACATCAAACAGAAAGGTTTTGCATCTTTAACAATAGTATTCAAGCTCCCAAAAATATATAGTAAACAACTGAGAGTATCGTGCTAGATATCAGGGTAATAGATCAGCACGGAGAAAAGTTAAAGTAATGTTATGACTATTTTATTCGATTAGAATAATACTCAAATAATGGACAGTAATCAAATTCAGCCATATGTGTGATAATTTTCTTTCACGTTTTTTGTTTATTTTTTAGCGCTACTTTTTTAATGAAGACAAAATAAATGAACATGTCGAACGTTGTTTACCTACATAAGCTTGAGTTTAAAGCAGCTCTATTTTTTTTAACAGACCAGAATGAACTAAAAAGTGTTCGGAAGGAATCGAATTAGGACGAGCGGTTCACACCGGTCGCTAATAGTTGGACATCAACTTAGATTTACAGCGGTAAGTATCGAGAGAAAAACGATATTTCATTTGTCGCTCTCCGATTCAGTTGTAATTAAGTATTATGTTTTTCTCATGATAACATGTATAAAACTCACAAATGCAAAAGCCTACTTCTGTATGAAATTTATTATCACATAGATATAATGATGTATTGATTGGTTTAAATGGTTCAAAATCAATGTTGACTTTTTTTTCTTTTCCGTCATCTGTCACAATTGTACCACAATAAATAACAAGACCATTTAGTGGAACTAAAATAGAACAAAAAAGGACATTGTAAGTATACTATTGTTGTACTTCAGTTAAAATATCCGATACCTTTATTGTATAGTTTTAATCTGGCTTGTACAGATGTGATAGCTGATAAAACAGATAGGCGATTCACACGCGATTTTATATTTGCTGCTGTACCATATTCATCTGCCAACATTTTTGCTACTCTAGGAATTTGATCGCGTGGCGGAATTATTAGCGATATCATACTTGTGCCATTTCTGTTTATTTGAGAGAAAAGAGAAAGAAACGACTGTTAGAAGTCATATGATGTATAGTGCACGCAGGTCGATAATCAACGCTGTTTAAAAAAACTACATACCCTCTTGCTGCTTCTAAACTTTTAATTAATTTTTTAATTTTCCAAATTTCAACATTTTTATCCGATGATTCCTGTTGATCGGCCATGATGTTTTATCTGCAATTTTTATTAATAAATTAACTCAGTTCTTTTAAAAAATAGCAGCTGTATTCTACAGCGAAATTAAAACTGTATTTCGCAATAACTGACACGAATGCCGTTTTCTGTCTAAAGTACAAATCAAATACCCCAAAATGACTAACTGTTTCGTATGTACCGGTAAATGCAGCACAGTGTAGGGAGGTAGAGAAGAATAAGTAATATAGCGCAGAGAGAGAAGAGAATATATAATAGAAAACACATACACACAGCATAATAACAACAACAACACTCCGGAACCAGGGAACAATCAATCAAAAACTTTAAAAGAACCGCCGTATTAACTAAATATGTTCTTCGTATATTTTCTTGAAAACCTCCTAAGGAGAAACTAATTTTCATTTATACTTTGATAATGACTAAATATGCTACGATGTATAATTTGTATTTGTAGATGACGCTTCCTCTCAGGCAAAATAGAACGTTAATTTAGGAGAACAGAATGAAAAAATAAAATTTTCAAAAAATGAAAAAGAATACTCATCTAGATAATTCTTCCATATTATCATTTGATGTTTCTATTTTCATTGTTGACAACACTTGATGTATCATCGATTTGAAAGATTTATTTCGTTTGTGTAGATAATCTAGGATTTTCTCTATTTTCTCTTGGATATCTTTTTTCATTATAGATCGTTTTCCATTTGTTTTGGTAGTAGATAGCTGACTCATTTTTTGTGATAAAACTTGTTCTTCCATTGGCTGAATTAAAATGAAAACGAGAAGGTTTTCTTTTAAAATAGATCCAGTATTATTTACTTTAAAAGAACTGATGATTGCGTCTCGTCATAATCCATATCATTCATATTATCATTTTGATCTAATTCATATCCATGTGTTTCTTTTTGAGTGGTATAAAAATTGTCGAACTCGACATCTTCTTCCAATGCATCGATGACATCGTTATCAAGTTCAATTTCATTGTACATCTCTTACGACATGTCGAAATTATCATACTAAAATATGAATAAAATCTTTAAAAAATGCGTATGTCAAAGTTTTAAATATCTTTTACTTGTTCTTGATCGATTGTGCGATTTCGATAAGTATTATTTGTTGCCATTATGAATGGAAGAAAATGATTTTATCTAAAATATTGAAAATTCCTGTCAAAGAAGAAGTAAATAGATCCGATTAACAATACAATATACAACTTTTTATTTCAATATTCACTGTTAAACAAGGTGCGTCTGAAAATCGATGTTGTTGGTAGTGAGAAGAACCATTAAAATGTTTCTCAGCATGATACAAATCTAAAACGGAAGAGAGAGAGGAAATAACTTAAAAGTTACGAATAATAATAAGAGACAAATTATACATGAAAAGCAAACTACAAAAAGCAAAGACGTTGACACACACGGAAGCATAGTGTCAACGGACTTCGAGGCGGTGAAGACTGAATCCTGTTTCGTATTTGACAGCATCCAGGATAGCTAAAATGAACAATAAAAATAAACGAAGAAACAACGTTTTGACTTACACTAGTCACTTTCTTGATCGTGGAAATAATCTTCATACTTTTTTCTCTAATGTGTTGTTATTTTGTCCTCTTGGTAGATGAAGATATCCAACATTCTTTTTATTGGATTCTTGTTCCTGTTCCTATTAAAAAGAGAAACAATATGTGTTACCTGTACGATATTTTGTTACTTTGTCAGATTGTTTTTCGTATTCATCTAGATCTTTTAAGTTTTGTTGTTGCTCGAATTGTTCCCATTGTTCTAGTTGTTTAACTTGTTCCATGTTTCTTTCTTGTTGCTGCTTCTCGTCCATATTTTTCGTTTCCTTGTTCTGTTGCGATTGTTCAATGAAATCACGTTCAAGTTGTTCGATTTCTTCGATTGTTTCGAACTCTCGAAGTTGTTTCTGTACTTCGTCGTCCAATTGTTTCACTAATTCGATTTGCTCTGGCATTTTCTTGTAATATTCTTGTTTGTCTAGAGTATTCCAAAAATCTTCTTCTAATATCTGATTATGTTCATCTTGTTCTCTTTTCCAATCAGGATCACGTTCCTGACAACGCTGTTTATTTTCGCGCATTTGTCGAGATCGTTGCCAATGTGTTTGTAGCTGCTGTATTTTACTTTGATCACCCAATTGAACAGCATGAAATAATTCTTTTTGATTCGGATGTGCCAAGTTAGATGCTGTTGCAACGAGCGATTGAGTGCTAGTACGAACAACCGGTTTTTGTTGTTGGTCTTCCTTCTGGGGTAAAATGGAACTGGCAGTCGTATTGATATCCATATTTTAAAAATCTGAAACAGAAAACAGAAATATTGATCTCATAATCGATTATTAATAATAAAGAGAGAGAGAGTTCAATGTTTGTCTACAATACTACAGATAAAAATGAGATGCAACTATGTGTATATGATGTATATGTGTCCAACTCTTAAGATACTACTGAGGAGTGGCAATGTTGGTGGGTCTTGGTGGGCGAACAAGATGTTGACGCCAATTACCACCACGATCATGAGAAGCAGATGGTTGATTAGCGCAATTGATACTAGGTGCCGTATTTAATTTACATTGAGCATGTGTAATCAATAATGCTTGAACAAAATGGCCTAGATCATCGTAACTATTGTTGGACACTACAAGTGACAAATATTTTTCATGACGACGACATGTCACATATTATCAAGATAAAACCTACTAGCAATAACAATGGCAGCATTGCAGAGATCGAGAAAACCAGATGGTTCATTGAAATCCGATAGACTTTTGAAAAACAAATATTGTTCATGTATTTGACGTTTTGAAAAACGATAATTCGGTGGTAGTGCTAGCACATGTCGAAGACACCAATAGGTCATTTCTTTGTTACGTGTGGTAGTCGTCAAACCATCTTGAAAATAGATGGGATCGGTATATTTAAATAGGATTTCACTCGTATGACGAGTAGGCGGTATTTGATCATCGATATCGACCTCTTGTACATGAATTAGATTTATAAATAATCCATGGTTTATTTAATTTTTTATTATTTAATAGTATACACAAGTAGTTGCTACAGAAAAGATTAACATACCAATAACATAGTTAAATTTTATATGCAGAAAGTTTCCATTATTGCTACATTCTCCCGTGCCAAAGTTTTCTGATTAGAGAAGCATTTTAGTACCAGAAGGGTATACGATATTGTCAGAATAGTTACTGGTTATTACATTCATACAATAACTGATTGCACACCACAATAACTGATTGTTAATCAACTAATGAATATTCTTGATAGCCTATTGGACATCCATCACCGTTTGCCATGGGATTGTAATAATTACAACGTGAAAATGTTCCTCCAAACTTGTACATAGATGTTGTAGGTAATGTAACATCTCGTGATAAACAAAATACAATTTTCGTGTGATCTACTTCTAGAGGAATTTCTTCATACTCTCGTGGACAACTGTAATCTTGTGTTACTGGATTTTTAAACACATTTGTATGAATTCCTCCAAAATATGCATGTTGTGTTTGATGTATAGAAAAACGTTCATCACTATAACAGAAATATAGATTGAACTGAGGATCGACATTTTGAAAAACAGCATATTGACTGTAATTAGCGATGCAGTTGTGATCTCCTCCTAAGATATTTTTGATTTCTAGACACTTTCCAGTGAAAAGTCCTCTAAAACGATATTTATCTGGAACAATATTGCAAGTGTCTTCATCCGGTAAATTTGCAGATGGATTAAAATTCTCACTATTAATATTCAGGCAATCACGATGTACATTATATTCATAAAATGTGAGAATTATATTTCTAACTACATCCGAAAGTTGGGAACCATAATCTTTCCGAAATCGTTCACCAAATGATGGTTGTAGATATTGTTTCTCAAATAATTCATATAATGGTGAACTTTGTCTCTTAACCACTGCATAATTTTTATCTATTGTTGTAATCCATTCAGTTAAGACAGTTTTTGAGTTGTCTCCCTGTACAGGTCCTGTACGGTCCTTGCAAATGCGCTCTTATCTCTACTATGAAAACTGTGTAGATATGTGCTACTATTAAATTGAGCTTCTTCTTTACCATTTGCTATAAGTGCAAATTTAAATTCTGCTGCTTGTTTAATATTGAAATCTGTATCAATTGTTTTATTTAAGCTTGACGATTCAGTACTGGATTCACTTGTATAGATACCACCAATTGTAATTACCTTAACAAAATGCGTCCTAAATGCTTGTAAAAGCTTATAAGACTGTCGTCGTAATTATTGATCATCATTTTTTCGAACACGATCTCCAAGATTTTCAACAGATTTTTTAAAAGACTCTGTAAATTGGCACATAAATGGGGGTGTTTTTATCGTAAAATGAGAAATGTGTCTAAAAGTTTTCACAATTAGCATTTTGTTAATAGTAATTTGGTTTTTCAATGTTTTATAGGTAGTAGAGAATGATCCAGATGCTTCGATAAGCCTTTCATCAAAGCTTCCACCTGCTACTATGTTAAGAGAAAAAGAAAGAAGATTACTAATATCACTGATATTTTTCACAATTTGGGAAGTAATTTCTTCATGATCTACTGAAGATCGTGCAGGATCAAAGCAACTTGGAAGCGTATAAATAATACCATTTGGACTTGTAAAAGTGTTCATTAAATTTGCATTATCAAATATTCTGTTCTGCTCGCTATAATCAAGATTGTTCCATCCATTACCTGGTAAAACGTCCAAAATTTCATTCGGTCAATGTTTGCATGTTGACTTCTTTATCATGGTTCATACAAACTGAAGAAAGTGAAAAATGTCTTTTAGAAGGAACAAATAAAAAAATGACAAGTCTTAATTATTCATTATATGAAATAAAAAATATTATAATTAATCATACTTGCTTTATTTTTATTTAAACTGAACTTTTTTATTGTTGTTCATCATGGTCATCACAAGATTATCCATATGTATTTCCTATTGGACAACTAAATGCAAGAATTTTATTCGAGAAGTTTATTTTGTATTAGAAAACGAAACGAATTTTAATTGGATTTCTTTAGTGTTAAAGTTCGACCAGATCCATTCAGTTGACGAAGAATAGAATTAATTATATAAAAAAAATAAGATTCGGTTATTTCTTTAAACTAATTCATTCTAAACAAGGTCCATCATGTGTTGAACTTCTATGAAATACAAAAATTCCAAACTTAGTAAAGATTCTCCTATATATGATATTCATAAGAGCGATGATAGCTTTTATTCAGTTTTGATTGATATCATTCTGATAGTTGTTTATCAATCTGGGATATAACTCATAATGTTTTATCATCTACATCAAATTTCAGCTCATTAGGGCTTTGCCGAATTTATTCAAATAAATAAATAAATAATAAAAAAATGAACTTGTCAGTCAGGTTCAGTCACTGGGCGCGTAGATGATTTATCATTATATTCAATAGATAGAAAAACGCCCAGTAAACAAGTCGTTAACTTGCCGTTTTCAGTGTGGCCGTTTCACGGTCCAAAGATCGTCTGAAAACGTCCATGGTCAGAAAACGGTCAGTTAACGGTCACCGTTTACTGA